ATAAATCAAAAGTTTGAGCGTTAAACTTTGTGAAAAATTCTATACTTTGTCTTGGTATCAAGTAAACCCATATTTCCAAGTGAAAGATAGCTCAATTTTATAGTAAAGAGGATAGTAAGTTTAGAGAAATAGATTATGATTTGATAAAAGGAGTTGCGACAAATCAAAAGTCTAAGCATTAAATTTATTACTAAATCCTTTACTTCGTCTAGGTATTGACTAAATCAAATTGTCAAGTGAAACATAATTCATATTACAACTTAGAGAACAGTAATATTATTTTATTAAAGAATGCATATTAGAAAAAAGAGAGGAAAAAATATATTTTTTTAAAAATGGGGATCAAACAAGGATGGCCTAGTGAAAACTTTTTACTTTATCTTGAAATTAAGTTAAGAATAATACAACATAGTGAAAATTACCGGTAATTGTCATCTGTGGCATACACGGGACAGTTTATGAATTGATGTATGACTCAATAAAAAACTACATCAAATTACAGATCGTCCATTTATGTCACGTAGGATGACTATCGATAGTGTTCACTATGAATATAATTACTCGTAAAGTAAACCCACGTTACCAAGTGGAAGTACTTTGTGTTACATGAGACCATAGTAAGTTCAGAATAGTAGATGTCGGGCTCAACAAAAAGAACTACCACAAATCAAAAAGTCTAGCACTATTTTAAAGAAAAATTATTTACTTTGTCTTGCTATTAATTTTGGGCACTTTCCGGCCACTATTTTTTCTGAACTTTTTCTTTATTATTACTTAGGTGTGTGACGTAGGTGGTAGGGATGGGGGTATTGAAATCTGAAATCGAAGATCCCCAAGTTGTCCTCACTACTGTTACTTGACAAATAAAAGCATGCTACTCTACTCCACTGAATTTTAATTGGGTAAATCCCCAAAAAAGAAAATAATTATTGGATCTTTAATTTAAATAGTAATGGTGTTGCTATAAAGGAATCGAGCACGCACCTCTTCTTAAAGCTCAATGTTTCGAGGGAAAACAGAAATCTAACTCGAAGTTCCAATATTTTAAAAAGTAAGCTGATCACGACTTTCCCATAACTGAAACTTCTGAAACTACGAATTTTTTAGTTAAAATAAAATTAAACCCGACACTTTTTAAATTAAATTTGTAAAGATCATTACTAAAAACACGTAGCATTACCGTAATGTTAACTAAAAAAGAAAAGAAAAGGGTCCCCAGGGCACATTCAAGTTGGTAAAGGATGGGCACAATTTCAGGGTGGGGAGTTCGGTTTCTGGATGGAGCAGTTGAGTGTTGTAATACTCAAAATGGGTGGAGCAGTTTGGTGATGTAATATCCATGGAGGAAAG